GTTGATGTTGGGAGATGCCGAAATGGTAGGTTATGCTTTGTTGGATAACGGGTCTGATGTAACGTTGATAAAATCGAGCTGTTTGAGGTATCTCGGGCTGAAGGAAGACCGAGCGTCAGTGGTAGTAGAGACTGTGGGTGGTAATAGGACAATGACGGTCACAAAGACCCCTTTTGAGGTATATTCTCTAGATCGGTCAGGACATGTTACGATTGAAGGAGCTCTGATTGTGGCAGGTATACCAGGTCATAAGCCAACAAAGTCGGCAGTGAACAGCCTAGTTAAGTGGCCACATTTAAGGGATGTACCAATAGATAACTTAGACTCTGAAGAAGTTCTGCTGTTGATTGGTTGCGACGTACCAGAAGCACACTGGGTGTTAGACCAGCGGTTGGTTGGGAGAAAAATCCCGTACGCTGTGAAGACGTTGCTGGGTTGGACAGTCTTCGGACCTGCGTCGTATCCGGAATATAGGAAAAGAGTGGTCAATCATACCAGTAAGATACAAACCTTGGAGAACGACATGCGTAAACTTTATGATGTAGAGTTTTCTGATGTTTATTCAAATGATAAATCAGTATCACTAGAAGATAAGGCGGCTATAAGGATTGTGGAAGGGGGCACACGCTTCGAAAATGGTCATTTTGTAGTTCCTATACCATGGAAAGTGAACCCAAATATGAAAGGGGAGAATTATGAAGTGGCAAGCAGTAGACTACAGAGTTTGAAGCGTAGATTGTTGAAAGATGACATTCTGTATATCAAGTATACAAAAGGTATTGAAAGTAACTTTATTAAGGGCTATGCGGAGAAGATCCCTGAAATACAATTGCAACCTAGTTATCACCCCCGGTGGTACTTGCCTCACCATGCAGTTATAAACCCGAAAAAGCCAGAAAAACTAAGAGTAGTCCTTGACTGTGCCGCGAAGTTTGCAGGCGTTTCTCTAAACGATATGATTTATCAAGGACCCGACACAACTGCTGAGTTAGTGTGTATATTATTGCGTTTTCGCAAAGAAGCAATCGCAATATCTGCGGATGTTGAAGAAATGTTCATGCAAGTGAAGGTCCCTGAGTCTGATCGAGGAGCTTTAAGATTTCTGTGGTGGCAGGGGGGAGACATGTCGAAAGAACCATCCGAGTTTCAAATGACATCTCATCCATTTGGCGCCATATCATCGCCGTTTTGCGCGAACTTTGCCTTGAATAAGACGGCCCAAATATTCTCTGACGGTTATGATGGTTATGTCGTAGATGCTGTTAAGAATAATTTCTATGTTGATGATTGCTTGGTATCTTTTCCCACTTGTGATCAAGCAAAGAGTTTCGTTAAGCAGATAAGTGAATTATTATGTAGAGGAGGTTTCAAACTAAAGAAATTGGTTACCAACTCGGAGGAGGTAAGGAACATCTTGCCTGATGTATGTAAAGAACAGTCCTTGATAGAAATGTCAACGGATTACAACACTACTCATCGAACCCTGGGTGTAGAATGGGATTTTAAACAAGATGTATTTAAGTTTTACTTTGATGCACCGGAAAGGCCTCTGACAAGAGAGGTATTCTATCTATAGTTTCTTCTCTGTTCGATCCTCTGGGTCTAATTGCTCCAGTCTGTCTTACTGCCAAACTTCTCTTGCAAAAATTATGTAGGTCCCAAATAGGCTGGGATCAACCTCTCAACGAGCCATACGTGTCCGCGTGGCTAGGCTGGGTAAGTTTTATGCATCAGATAGGTCACGTCACGGTAGCTCGAGGTATCAAGAGGAGAATCGACGAACCCGACGCGAAAGTGGAATTGCACTTGTTCAGTGATGCTTCAGAGGTTTGTTATGGAGCAGTTGCGTACGCACGAGTCAGCTATTTGAAGGAACCACCATATTGTATCCTGTTGTACAGCAAGTCTAGGGTAGCACCTATCAGACAAGTCACTATACCGAGACTTGAGATGGCGGCAGCGGTGTTAAGTGTGAGGCTTAGTGAAGTATTACGGAGAAGTCTGCCTAATTTTTTCTGCGAAGTAAACTTCCATACAGATTCCATGATAGTTAGACATTGTCATAAAGAACAAGGACACATAGGAAGATCATTAGAAAAAGGGTATGGATATGTGTTTACTTGTCTGCAAACATGGGCAGTACATATTGAAATGATGTGTAATTTGATTACTGATTACTGTTACGCTTTAACGTTCACCGGTTGTGGTTTTTATATTAAGGCTACGTAGGGCAATGTTGTGATCACTACCTGGGAAATTTTTTCTAATATACACAGTATTGAGGGTGAGGCCACTGGTAAGGACTAAGTCCAAGATATTTTGATATTTGGTAGGGCTATTGACATACTGAGTCCACTTTTCAAGCTCTGAACATTCAACAAACGATTCATAATTGCCTTGGAGATATTTAGTACATTGAATTCTACATTAGTAATTTCACAGGGAGGTACTGGGATTGGTTCTGAATCAGTAAATGGTTTTTCGTTAGTTAGTGAGAAACAAAAGTGTTCACTAAATAGTTCCGTAAAATCTTTAGGATCTTCATATACTTGTTTGTCCATAAAAAATACGTTTTCTCCTCTCGATTTATTACGTTTAGGTTTATTTTGACGGGGCTTGATAAGTGCAGAGGAGTTATTAATAAGTTCGATAGCGCGTTTTTCTTGCGCGTCACCTCTCGATTTAGAACGTTTACCTTAGTTTGAAGGAGTATGGTGAGCAAAGAAGAGTTATTAATGTTATACCACAAAGCTGCCAATCAGAAGCAGCAAATTATCGATCGGACCAAGGCCGCGTAAAACACGTGCGAGCAGCCTAGAGTCCTGATTGGTCCTGCTTTCCGCCTAGCCCAGCCAGAAAAGTCCAGAACACAAGTCTCAGCCTCTGCAATATGAATCATTATATTTCAAATATACTGAGTTTATATACCAGTCAAACTGGCCACAACGTATCAGTAAATAGAAAATAACATGTAAAAATCTGGCCATATGTGGCTGTGAATGTGGGAGGCAGTGACTAGTAGACAGTGCATAATTCAAAAATGATAAAATATATAATAATGGTCCATAGGTCAAAATAAAACTTTTAATAGGAGGAACATGAATATGAACAGTTTAGTTATTTAACAATTATACGATAAAAATATACGTTTAGTACTGATTGTAAGATCCATTTTGAATGTTTTGTGTGTTGGTGAAAATCCCTCCATGTATATACTTGTACTTTATTCCTATTGATCACATTTGTTGTACACTGTTGTATTTTGATTACATTTGAATTGTTAATATTTGTATTTTTGTTATAGTTTTTGTTTTTATTACGCATTCACAAAGTTTGTGTTTCTTCCTGAACTGCATCTGCGTTGTTTTACTTGACGCTTGTTCTTGGCGGTAGCCATATTGATTTGTTCCTCCTGTTGTGTGTGATCTATCCAGCCAGGATAGAATAACGTTGATTTGTTGTGATTGATTTAATTGATTGAACAATCATTGGTTGAATAGCCGGGTGATAATATTTGTTTAGAACCGCTATTTACCCGATTACTTGTTTTGATTTCGACGGGATAAGGCGCGTGTCTAAGGTCCTCAGTCGGCTATTCCTCAACATCCAAACCGTGGTTTGGATTTTACACTACTGTCCTTACATTTCTTCTCACCCCAACAGCATGGTTTCAGGAAGGGTTACTCTTGTATAACCAACCTGCTGACTGCGGTGGACAAATGGACAAGCATCCTCGATTGCAAGGGAAAGGTTGACGTCATTTACCTTGATTTCTCAAAAGCTTTTGATAAGGTTAACCACTTGTGTCTTATCAACAAGCTCAAACGACTAGGTATCAAACCACCTCTAATCGATTGGCTTACTTCATACCTAAAAAATCGACACTTTAAGGTTAGGGTTAATTTCACTTTATTTCAGGCTATGGAATGTCCTAGTGGGGTCCCCCAGGGCTCAGTACTAGGGCCTCTTCTCTTCTTGATCTACATAAATGATCTTCCTCAACAGGTAACGTCAGACTTATTACTTTTTGCCGACGACGTGAAACTTTGGAGAGAGATACGCAACCAAGGCACTTCAGGAGGATCTGACGCGACTTCAATGTTGGGCAGACGATAACGGACTTACCTTTAACACTTCAAAGTGTAAAGTAGTCCATCTGCGACATGTCGCAAACTACAGTTACAACTTAGGAAACTCCTCTCTAGTAATATCCCAAGTCGAAAAAGATTTAGGAGTCCTGGTGCCCCATGACTTAAAGTCTTACGCTAACTGTGACAAAAATGCCTTCCGAGCAAACCTTGCACTGGTAACGTTGAAGCGCATTTTTGGACAGTTTGACGGACGAACTTTCCATACAATCTTCAATAGTTTCATCCGTCCCCATTTAGAGTACGGAAACATAGTACTCCCCCCTCACTCCAAAAGGACAAGGTCACTTTGGAGCGTATCCAACGGCGAGCCACGAAATCAGTTCGAGGACTCAAATCTAAACCTAACGAAGAACGCCTCCGTTCACTAGATCTTTACCCACTAGAATATAGGCGTCTTAGAGGTGATTTACTAATGGCTTATAGTATTCTTAACACTTCTGGACATCCTCTTAAACACCTACTTAAGCTTAGTTCGAATAATAACCTAAGGGGTAACACCCAGAAACTGGAAACACAACATAGCAAGACGGAATGTAGACACAACTTCTACTCCTTAAGAGTTGTCAAAAGCTGGAATTCGCTACCGGCCGAGCTAGTCCAAACGACTTCTCAGGAGTCCTTCAAGAGGCAACTTGACCTATTCTTAAGGACCAAGGACAGCATCACATTATGATTTACCAATTTCTTTTCCTTTTTTATTGTTAACATACCTAGGTTCCTGCCTGAAGGATTTGGTGATCCCTGCTACTAGACACGGAAGCCTGTTAAGCGAAAGCTTCTTCTATTCCGTCCACAACCATTTGAACCATTTGAACCATTTGGACTACAGACCGTTCAATATTTGTAGCCACATCTTTGAAATTTAAGGCCATCTCGGCCTGAAGGTCATGCTACCCTTCATCTTGCTGTTTCGTTCTAGACAACAACCAGTTTGTTGCCTTGTCAATTTGACCACTTCAACCTTTCTGCAAGATTGGATTCGGAAGCAAACTCCGAGAAAACCTAATCGTTTCAAGCTACACAAAGCTTATACTGTCCTTGATAATGAATTGTATGTAGCTGTGATTCATTTATTTTTTTATAGTTTGGATTTAAATCAACCGAAGCCTTTTTCCTTTCCACAGAATAATACGTTACTGCATCAGAGTAAGTCCTCCATCTTTTCCAGTACACTTCTCATAGCCGAATATTTCAGTCATATCCGTTTCGAGCAAATATGAATTCTGTTACTAATATCCTCCATGGTTAATCAAACTTCGATCTTGCTTCTTCTGTTGTCAACCTTACATCACGTCTGGGTTACGTAAACTGTCAATCCCCATACCATCTTCAAATCTATGCACAAAATGGTGAAAGTATAGTGTACTGGCGGCCTTGAGTTGTTCATTCAGAGTGATGATGACGCCTTGTGTAATTTACGTGAAACTTAAGGTGTGATGATAAGTCTTATGTTATGACGGATGTAGTTAATATTCACAATGATTGGTCCTTAAGATCCTTGGAAACAAAAATAATCTATTATGCAACCACAATGTGAATTTAAAATGGTACTTAAGCTGAATTACAAAATATACCTGCTCATAACGGAGAGTCTGGTTAAGTACGTGGTGTGATTCTGTGCGCAGTCAAGAAAGGTTCGTGCTGCTGAATAGTATTCTCCGATTTAATACTTACCTTTAATTCCAATCACTAGTTTATAAGGAAAAGGGCGACAAAAAAATCACATTATAGCTGATGTCGGTTTGTGATGAAAGCTTTAATGCCAATTTATAAAACCATCTGCAAATTCTACCTTAAGTCTCAATACATGAACCTTACCTTTTTGCATTATCACTGGTGTTAGTTGATGACGAAAGCTCTTTGGGATGACTACTAACTCATAACCCTTGTCTGAATCTAAATCTCCATAACATAACCTTATTCCTTAACTGAAGAGAATAATTCGACATGTGAAAGTTGATTATCGAGATAGCTATGATTCCGTTGTTTTAATATCAATCATTTAGCTGCAACGTAGGACCAGGCACATAAACATTGGTTCAAATTGTCACACCACATTAGCACAAGATAAACACCAAATTCACAGAAGTAGTCACTTCAGTCGTTGTAATGTATAAGAGAAAGATTGCCGATAAAGATATGATACAGGAAGAAAGAATCGGTTCGTAAAATCAAGGTACAACGTAATTTCAGTCTCACGGTTTATAAGAAAACAAAGCGTGTATACACCTACCCCATTGTGATTGATTCTGAGCCGTTACCCAGAGTCTTCAACCATTGGTTACGATAGTCGCGCGAACTGCAACCAAGTAGTCTGGATCTACCAACATGGCTCAGACCTGTAGTTAGTGACTTCAAGAACTGATGCCACGTTTTGGTTTGGCTGCCCCTTACTTTATTCCAACCGTCTCCAACACTCCCACCAAAGCTGCTACTTTGACGCGGTGGTCGGGCTTGCATATCGTGATGACCCAACCGAGCTATATTGGCTGGAACATATGTTCCTGTAAGTTCTACCATACCAGGCAGGTCGATTGGAGAACAGTAAGACTAAAAGCAGCAACTCAAGGTCTGAGGGCGAAGTCGTACTGCTGACTGTAGAGAGGTGTGACAGCAGTAAGGTGTTTCCCTCGGACAACCAGCATGACAGCGATGCTGCCTTCCCACAAGGAGGGGTGGGGTTAGAAAAGGTCGACCCTAAAATGTCACACCTCACGGATTTCCGTTTCCGGCGGTAAGGCCGGAGCTAACACATCAAAAACGTCCCACGAAAAAGCCGTGCGCGACCGGCCTCAAGCAGTTGTCGCTTGGGCTCTGCGGTCACGCTCCCAGGTCGTCAAGACCAACACTAATCCAATTTCCTTTTCAGGTTCCTCAAGAAATACCCTTCCACGGTGTGGGCAGCCGGGAAGTGACACCAGCCCTCATACCCGTAAGGACACACGAGACCAAGTTGGTCACATTCAAATCCTTCCTACACCTCTTATACCACTCTTATCTCCCCGAATAACCCTTCTCACGTCCTTTTTTCACCTCGCACCGCTAGGGCAAACGATTCGAGTACGCGGAACGTTATTCCCGGTCTCCTGAAACCACGCTTTAAACTACATGTAGGAGCTTTTACCGTACGAACACTGTGCCAAATGGGACGACAGGCTTCCTTAGCTAGAACTTGAAAATCTCGCACCATCGCTGTGTGCTGCTTCTCTGAAACGCGCATACAGGATCCTAGTAGCGTCATTCATTTGACATCATCATGCCAAAACAAAGAACCAACTCGATTCACACTTCGTGTATCTGGAAGCCCAGATGCTGCTTCTCGTGGACTCGCCGGCGTAGGTATAGCATTGAGTCCTAGGGCAGAACTAGCTCTCTTAGACTGGTTACCAGTAGACAGTCGTTTGTGCGCTGTCCGACTAAACGGAACAATAAATACAATAAGGGACACTCGTCGTTGCCTCTTCGTCGTCTCTGCCTATTTTCCCACCGAATGCAGCGCACATGATATAAAAGATGAGTTTTACAGTAAGCTCTCCGACCTCCGAAAAGCTAGGCGCTCTGGTGTAGTAATAATGGCGGGTGACGTTAATGCTCAAGTAGGTAAACTAAGCGATAGGGAAAGACACCTAGGCGGATCTTATGGTGTCGTGGCTCAAAGAACAGATAATGGCGACCGCCTGTTGCAGCTATGCTCAGATAACCGTCTGTTCCTTGCAAATACTAACTTTAAGCATAAGGAAAAACATCTTTTGACATGGCGACCCCCGAATTTGTCCCAACATTGGACCCAAATAGATCACATCGCTATCAGCCACCGATGGAGGGGCTCGATGGAAGACTGTCACTCATTCTGAAGCACATGCCTAGATTCAGATCATGCTCTAGTACGAGCGCGTATCTGTCTGCGTCTTACTGGACGTAGGAAAGACTGCAAGGAAACCTCTTAGGGTCCTATTTAATGATAGACAAACTAAGAGTATATTTCAGTAACAACTAGGAGAACAGTTAGGCAGCCATGTATGTGATGCCCACCCCGAGGCAGCATGGAATGATATCCGAAAAGCTGTGGAAACAGCAGTGATATCTGCTAGTACGGTAACCCGTAAGGTTAGGGAGCAACACTGGATCTCAGCAGCATCTATCGCACCGATAGATGCTCGGAAACTCATTCCACCTGGTTCTGAACATAATGAAGAACGTAGTCAGCTTAAGCGTAAGCTGACAAGAAGTCTACGCAATGATCGTGAACAGCGGTGGGTAGCGAAAGCAAGAGAGATAGAAAAGGCAGAGAAATAGGTAATAGCAAACAATTGTTCAGACTTGTAAAAGAAACCGGTATTAAGAAACCGACTGTTAGCGAAACAATCTCAGAGAAAGATGGACATATTATACATTCTCAATTCAGGAGATTGGATCGATGGGCAGAACAACAGGGATCAGTTCAACAGGCCTTCAGCCACACTTCGGTTTCCCACGATCTCCAGTCAACCTGAATGGCAAGTTAATGTAGGTCCTCCGACTCTTTATGAAGTTGAAAAAGCCATAGGAAATCTGAAGCGAGGAAGAGCAGCAGGCCCTGATAGATTTACTCCTGAAATTTTTAAGGATGGTGGTTCAGTATTAGCAGTGAGATTAACTGAGGTCTCAGGTAAAATTTGGGAACTGGACGTAATCCCATTTGACTGGCCTCAATCACTGATTGTGCCAGTCTATAAGAAAGGACAAAAGTCCTCTTGTGACAATCACAGAGGAATCAGTTTGACTAATATAGTGTCTAAAATATTAGCTTCAATAATACTTCGACGCCTAACTAAAGCTCGTGAAGAGCAGACCAGAGAAAACCAGGCTGGTTTTCGACCTGGACGTGGTTGTATAGACCAGATATTCACACTACGTCAGGTTCTAAAACACAGACACGTTCAGATGCCCCACAATCGTAGTATTTCTCGACCTTAAAGCAGCATTCGACTCTGTTGATCGTAAGGTTCTATGGCAGTGTTTGTCACTGAAAGGAGTACCAAAGAAGTGCATTAACCTTATAAAGGCTCTCTACTCGAACGCAACTGGTCGCGTGAGAGCTTATGGCGAACTGTCATCAGAATTGATTACCTCAAGTAGTGTTTGTCAGGGCTGCCCACTCTCTCCATTCTTGTTCAACTTCGTCACTGACGTACTTTTAGAGATAACATTTGCCTCGTTTAAATTTCCAGAGGTTGAACTTCTACCGGGAGGTTCACTTGTTGACTTAGAATATGCTGATGACATAGTTCTATTTGGTGAAGACGCTGACAAAATGCCGAGTCTTTTGACCACTCTAAGCAACAATGCAAGCATGTTCGGGATGCGATTCTCTCCCTCGAAATTCAAAATGTTGCTTCAGGATTGGGTTACATCGACACCCGAACTAGTGATAGGGAGTGAAGTGGTTGAGTGTGTCAACCGCTTCACTTATCTTGGAAGTCTCATCAGCCCTTGTGATTGGTGTGTGACGAAATCTCAGCACGGATACAGAAGGCTCGACTAGCTTCTGCCAACTTGCTTCATTTATGGAGTAGGCAAGATATCCGTCTATCAACCAAAGAACGTGTTTTTACTACGCAGCAGTTCGTTCCATCCTACTTTATCGCTGTGAAACATGGCCGGTAATAGTAGAGGATATCCGTAGGTTACTAGTATTTGATCATAGGTGTCTTCGAAACATTACTCGTATATCCTGGGACCATCGAGTAAGTAACACAGTTGTTAGGAAACGGGTACTAGGTAAGGATGGCAAATCGATTGATGAAGTGGTGAAACTTTATCAGTTGGAATGGCTGGGACACGTGTTACGTATGCCCAACGACCGACTGCCTCGACGTGCGATGTTCAGTGGTATAGGAGTAGGTTGGAAGAAAGCTAGGGGCGGCCAGACCAAAACATGGCACAAGTCCATGAAGTCACTGACAAGTGGACTAAGTCATGTTGGTATGTGTAGACTCCCTGGTTGGGGACCGCGAGATGATAGCAACCGATGGTTAGAGACCCTGAATGACATGGTGCAAAATCGTCTGCAATAGCGCAGGTGCATCCACTCTCTGTGTTCTCCCAAATTCTAATCTTCTGAATTCTTCATGTCCCTTTTTTCCTCTTTCCAAATTTATTTCACTGGATTATACTCTTTAAATAACGTCTCCAAACCCTAATTTTCCTGATTACTGTTTATACTCTTATTACCTCTACCACTATGGGATTTGAATCGACCACTGCATCTCTGTGCTAATGTGGTATGGCAACTCTAACTGATGTACATACGTACGAAGTTCTACGTTGTTATTGACTGACTGACTGACTCTCCAACACTGGTCAGCATTACGCATCGTGGTAATCGGTGTTCAGACACTCCTGTATTCTAAGATCTGACTAGTGGTGAATATGTGGTCGATGCAGCCACGGCCATTTCTGAAGCCAGCCTGATTTTATCGTGTTTACAGTTCATAGGTGCTAAGTTCAAAGAGAATTGTATGCTAGATGCTTGCACATCCGCCCCGTTATTGTTCACATTTCCCGACTGTTGCTGCTACCTTGACGTGATGGTTGGGCTTACCTAATGAATCAATCAAGCTGTACTGGCTGAAACAATCGTTCATCAAGTTTCTAGCATAAAAAACATCGGTTGCAGAGCGATAAGACTAAAACAGGAAGCCCAAGGTTCGAGAGCGAAGTCGTACCGCTGATTGTACAGAGGTGTGACGGCAGTAGGCCGTTTCCTTCAGACAATCATCATAAAAGCAATGCTGCCTTCCCACAGAGGTTGTGTGGGATTATAAATGGTCGACCCTAAAAATGCACACCCCGCCTTATCCCACGGATTTCCGTCTTCGGCGGTAAGGTTCCAACACGTCCAAAGCTAACAGAAGAATCTTATGTAACCGGCCACAAACAATTGTCCCTTGGACACTGCGGTCACGTTCTCACGTCACTAAGACTACCTCTAACGAGATATTCTTCTAAGGTTCCTCTAGAAGGACCCTACCACGGTGTGGGCAATCGGGAAGTGGAAACCTCCGTTATACCTCTAGCAGCATGCAAAATCACTGTATTCATAATCAATCTCCCCCTTCAATTCCTATTATACCTCCTATGTCGACTTTCAACTCTGAACCTCCTCTTTTGCCTTCTCCTCAAGTGTCACCCTGGCCAACGATTCCTGTGCGCAGAACACTCCCAGGTCTACTGAAACCTCGCTCCAAACTACACATTGGAGTCTTCAACGTACATACCGTATGTCGGCCACCAGGCCTCCTTGACTAAGACCCTAGAATATCGTACCATTGATTTATGTTTTGTCTCTGAAACACGCATTCAGGATCCTAGTGTGGCCATTCACTTGACCTCACCTCGACAAAACGGACAGCCGACGAGATACACACTCCGTGCATCTGGCGACTCGATGGTTAGTTCTCGTGGACTGGCAGATAAACACCAAATTGAATGGTGGTACGTAAACTTCCAGGCGACATTCGGATAGTGGAGCCATAATCTGTGTGCATGGCGTAGTGTTCAGTTTCTTGCATAGATAGCACCGTTTCAGGATTCTTCGGATAGCAGCCTGAACCTTATTGACCCAGAACTATTTGCGAAGACGGTTCAGGTTGACAGTAATGCCGGAATGCGCATTCTGCGAATAATAGTGCATTACAATCAAGTCAGCAATAATATGATTACTAGGAAGTATAAGGGGATGTTTGCTCTCGAAGAGCAAGCACGATAATTTAGGTCGTCCCCCTACTCGGATGACTTCATCTATTACAAAAAGATTAAGATTCTTTATCGAGCTCCTACGCGCAACGCTACTTCTCATTATCTTACCAACAGACATTAGATGGAGTATCATTTCCTTATTCATAACTGATCCATCTACTCCTTTCCTCGGTCTTTCTTGCGATCCACATGTATTGTCATGCTCGTCTTTATGCTGTATGCGTCTTAGCGTCTCCATCTTTATGAGAAATGTGATAATTTGAACTAATTTAATTATATTCTGCTTCGCACTATCAATTTCTTCCAATCTCAATCTACCAAGAATTAATGGTCCTCTGTTTAATCTCACCCTCATATTGTAAACGAACCGTCTGCATAGAGAGAATATCCTCAACATTTTGGACCAGGTCTTACAGTTGCTAAATTGATTCAAAAATGGGTCCAAATGACTGCACGCCGATGTTTCGCTTAATTATTCTATAAACAAATGGGTTAAAACATGGTTCTCCTATTCGCGTGAATTTGGCCAGCTATTTTCGTTTTGCCATAAAAAGTTCGGTCCGTGGAATCACTCAATTGTTTTAATGCTATCATCTAAAGCATGATGCTCAGGATTCTATTTACTTTTAACATATCTCCATTGGCTCGTTGTCGACAGTTCGTGAATCGTCGCTAATCGTTTGCTTACAAATCTCTTGAATCTTTCGGTTGTATTTCTTATACAATGACGTACGAATAATGAATCCTTCCAATAAATGACAGAAGAGATAGGGATACGCAATTGTTATTCAACGTGTTCTTCAATCTTAGCACAGCAGCTGTTAATCCCATCTCGGAATGGTTATAAGTTTCAGTGGGGCAACCCTGGGCTTAGCCGGCATCCAACGGTGTTAATGTCTAACTTCAACTAATCCACGAAATTGAGCGACATATACACCATTGTCATTAGTGAGTTACTATCTCACAACAGACCTGGTTGAACTCCACTAGTTACTGCTTCCCACTAGAACTCCAGGATATACATCTTGATGAAGCCAGTCACTAGTGAGCATAAGTCGATTAGTATCAGAAGGCGTTTTGTGGAGATTTTATTAATTTCAATAGTTGAAATCATGAGTCAATTGAAGCTAGACCACCATGGAAAACATGGAAACACTGAACGGCTGTTTCGTCCCATTGTGGGACTCATCAGCAGTGCGCGTCCACGACCTCGACTCGAGGGATTCCAAGTAGATGATCGACGTACTCAGTAACTTCAGAAGTTGACGTAGACCAGTCATAAGGTATTATTTTGAACTTAGAGAAATAGGAATGCATCCGAAAAATGTTTACGTTTTCATTCAAGGTGATCAGTAGAATCTGCAGTTTAGTATCTTTACGAAACAAAACCGTCATCTGCATGTTCTAAACCGATAAGTGATCTTGGTAAGGAATCAACTCCTGAACAGTTATTTCTAAGAGAATATCTACAACCAAGTCAAGTAAACAGTTACATCATTCAACCCTGATGAACACTTGATGTCAACGATTCCGATGACAATTCTCCATACACTTCTGATTCAACCAGTAGTATTTAAGTAGAGTCTGTACAAGGTTAGTAGTTCTTAAATATCGTAAGGGCTAATTAATGATGACCTATTCCCTCTCGCTGTAGATTAATTGTGGCCTTCTCGATTTTATTAAGAGTCGCGGGCTTTCGACAATGTCCCATTCAAGTTATTCGGTAACATTAAGCAACTACAAGGTATCTAGAGCCAACTTGAGCCGTTTTTTAAGGTATTCTGCGAATCATCCCGATTTTCTGGTCTGAAAATGTATCAATGTCCCATATTTTTCATAAATATCATTAACAACTACCTTTTTAATAACTATCTCCTTGATGAATTGAAATAGTTGTTCGCCTTTTCAGTCTCTTTTGCTTTCGCTGCTCACTGCTACTCACAAGCATTCCGTAGACTTTTGCCAGTCTATGTTTGAGTTGTCTTTGCTCACCATCGTATTTTGAGCATGATGGAATTAATTTCTGAACATCTATCGACTTAGTGAACATTATAGAAATCCAATGATGTTTCATAACCTTTTGGTCCAAGCCGTTGGTGGATGTCGCTGCTGATTCCATAGCTTTTTGGATATTATATCAACCTACATTGAGGCAAACATTACTTTGTCGATTGACCAACTGGTTTAATAGTTGGTACTGAGATAAACCACCACTGAATTAACCACTTCTGTGGATCCAATGTTCATCTTGTTATGCTAATGAGGTATGGCATCTTGGACCGATGTACATATGTGCCTGGTCTTACGTTGTAGCTGACTGACTGACTGGAATATACTCTTGACAGTTTCGCCGTTTATCTGAAATCTTAGGGATCTTGATTCTGTGACGCTTCAATACCCTATAAGACAGGCAAATGAGTTGCCGTTTCCTGGTTACTAACATTGTTGAGAAATATTTGTTCTTGAGGCACTTGCAAAGAAATCTTGTTTAAAAATGGTTTTTACAATCTGGAAACATGGCTCCAGTAGTCCTAGTTAGCTCTGTGCTTAAAAAGCTTTATAGTTTGCGACGTAAATTCATGGGACAAGACGATGTGGGTGGCTTTCAGGGTCGAACTTTTGCAACCCGCTCCTCGTCTCGGAAAGGCAGCGTCGCTACAGAATCTGATTGCCTGAAGAAAAAATATTTTTGCCGCCACACTCCTAGGCAGTCGGCATTACGACTAAGTCCTCGGACAGAGTCCACCACTTTTCATACTAGCACTCTCAAACCGACCTACCTGGCATAATAGATGGTAAAAGAACAAATCCTCCCGCCGATTTAGTTCGATTGGGTCACTGCAATACATCAGCTCTACAATTGCATCAAGACAACAACTGTAGTTATAAGACTATGAACTACCTAAATATTGTAGTAATTAATTTTTTCAGATACCCTGACTGACATATTAATATTTATATTTAATTTTCTACAGGTATCTATGATTCAGTTAATTCTTCCATATCCGAAAACCGTTCCCAGTACTTTGCTGTCGTGGCTATTGCAGGGAAACAGTTCAAAGTAACTAATAACGATTTAATTATGATCAAAACACCGTTCTATGGAACTGACGTTGGTGATCGTGTTCAATTACAGAAGGTCCTACTTTTAGGATCATCAGACTTTACTATTATCGGTCGACCAATTTTACCAGTGCATCAGGTGTATATTGAGGCTGTAGTGGTTGAAAAAACTCTTGAACACCCTAAAGTTTGGTACCAGTTCCATCGTCGTCGTAGACACCACAAACTGCGAGGTAAATTAGTATTTATTTTTCTCACATTCTTTTCAGTATTCCAGGGGAATGTTACTGTCCTTCAGGTTATTGATGTTCGTCCCAATACATTAGCAACTTATTAAATTAATCCTTGAATAAACGCTTACTCGTTAAAAAAACATTTATGCTTTTACATACTTTTAAAAATCTGTTTTCTGCGATTTTTGTTCATTTAAAGTATTTGATAGTGTAAACTACTGCCGTACTCAAAAAAGTATATATTCTCCGAATCATGTCAAAGTTTGTTTCTTTCCCTCTCTCTCTGTCGTTGAAAATGTATTTCCATCATAACAGACTCGAAGGAAAATAGTCTCAAACTTTGATTTCATAATATGGTAAAATGTCTAGCTTAAAACATCAAGAAAAGGCAGAGAGCATGTACTTTATACTTTTCATGGTATTGTAAAGTTTATTACTGTAACGTTAGTCTTGGTACTCTAGGATTCTGACAGCCTTCATCTCAGGTTGAAATGACAACATGTTTCTGATTTTCTCTCCTTTCAAATGAAAGATAATATCCTATGCTTTTAGAAGTGAGTTTCGAGGGTGGTTACTTGACCTTGGTTACCCATCACTCCGTGTATTTCAAGCGACTATTTCAAAGTCAGTCATATATGAAACTGTTTTTATCGGTTTTAATTTCTTCACAAGCTCGTAACACAAACTTAGTGAATATTAAGAATCAAATAATCATAAAAGAAAGCATCACCCTTAAAATTTAACAGTTTATAACAGGTTTTATTGGCTTATAATTTATTTACTGGACAACAGAAGTTAATTAAAAATAAAAGTAAAGTTTACCAAGTATTCACTCATTGTTTGGTCAAATTTTTAATTGCCATATAAATTCATTGGAACATTTGTTGACCTCAAATATTGTGACTTTTTGGAAATACTCGTTTTACTGTATTATATTTAAACATCTATTTGATGCGTGAAAATGCTAAACATTTCTTAATAAATCCAGTAGTATATCATTTATAAAATCCAAAGAAGGGATATCCAACCATGGTTCTTCTATTTGTTAATCGCTTACATGACATTATTATCTCCTCCATCTTGTGACTTCAAGTGTCATCAATTCTCTCGCCTATTATTCGTCTTTTAACTAATACTTTTATTCGAAAACTACCAAAAGTCAACAGAATGAGCTTCCGTTTAGACTGGTTGATAAATATATAAGGATTGATAGTAACTGCCACCTTAATTCCTAATTTTGAATAACAGAACGTTTCAAGTAAAGTTTGCTAAATATTAAACGTATAGTTTCTGAACTTGGTTGGGTAGAAAAAATGTCTGTCGCAACAACCAGATGTTTTTGTCTATATCACTTTGATGGAGATGTGAACCATTAGAGTGTGACTCTGATCTCAAAACATCGTGCCATCTAAGCGATTTGAAGGTCCTGAGTTTAGTTGAACGTGAGTTTACGAATGCACTATATTTAAGCATTCTAAACTGAAACTCGACCTCCGTTCAGCGCTAACTAGTTCTTGAATTCTTTTCAGCTGATTTCAGCCTGCCATTGAAACTATCTTCATAAATAGCCGGAAGTTGGTTTCAATGTCACAAGTTCATTCACTATTTCTTTTCCTCCAAATATCTAATATACATTCTAGTTGTCCTTTTTCCCTTCTAAAACCACAGTATTGTTTTCTTAACGTATCGGCATATGTATTAGTTTCCCATTTGTATTGCAAAGTTTGACAACTTTAACCAACTTGTCTTTGTGGAATGTTATACATTTTTAAGTCAGTGATTTGGACGAATTAAAGAAACAGGTGATTATTTACATGGAATTAATCTTTTGTTAAGTAATAAAATCTATTACGTGATAAACATGATGGTGTATATAAAATTATTTGACGGGTTTACTTGTCCACCAATGTAGTCAAAAATCGTTTCTGAAGAAAATAAATCAGTTAAATATTAAGATTTCAGTAGTTGTGAGGAGTACTTATTTTCTACTTCCAAATAAATCTAAGGGAAGTTAATGCCTTTTTACCCATGGAGATTGACGAAAAGAGAGTTCTGTTTCTAGTAAAGCACGATTTTATTGTTTATTCTTCTGTAATTGCACACAACTGATAATGTGAAATAAAGCAATATATTTTATTATCAAGTTTGCCGCAAAAAGTATCATCATTACCTTCATTGTTTATCGATATATTAGCGAGAGTGCTTGTAATAAAAGAATACTATAACAGTCTCCTGGCCGCAATAATAAAGTTTATTTTTTAGGACGATGTCTTCTATTCATATAAACTCGTTAACGGAATAAATTGCAGTCAATAATAATAATAATAATAATAATAATAATAATTATTATTATTATTATTATTATTATTGTAAAGCAAAACATTGACAGGCCAGATAAAACATAAACGTTCTACTATTATACGTGGTAATTTGATTTTGCGCCTGATATAAAAGCTCATATGCAATCAGCCACTTGCTTAGAAAATATGAGAGTAAGGGTGGAGCTTTTTGCAGGATAAATGTGCACTCGTTTATATATACCTTTCTTAAAAAAATAAATACGAACTTTCAACTAATGGCATATGTTTTGTTCCTCAGATACGGCAGCCGGCACCTGACCAACAGCTTGCTGTTATCATTTGGCCTGTCTAATTGGCCAAGCGCATCACATATTGAATCACAAATATCTTCAGTAAAAGTTTTTATTCCAAGTGGCTTATGTTAGAAAACGTAATATAGCTAAATAAAAATAAATAACGAAATTACCTCTTCACATTAACATATTCTGATTGGTTTCGTTCCTATTTCCAATGCTGTGTAAATCTTTATGCCAGGAGATTTACTCTCAATCTTGATAAAAGTAAATGTTTATGTTAAGTGTTTTTTATATGTCCGACAAAACTCTCTAATGTCAGGTGTATTCTGTGCAATATTTAGAGATTTTAATATCATAATTTTTGCAATCTTCAATTTATCACGGATATAGTGGAAATATAAAAAATTATACCTGTTCAACTATTTAGTCTATGTTTGATGATGAATTATCACTTTACCGTAAGCTAAGTATAAATGTAGATGGCGTTCATCAACCACGACAGCTCATTTATTTTAGTAAACTCTTCTGTTGATGTTAACGATTCAAAAAACGTCTATTTGACATTCTCTTGTCAGTTAACCATTATCAATAGCATGCGGAATATCATATATTTGTGTGTTGCTAGCATTCTCTTCAGCATAAAAAATATAGGTTATACATCACGTGTAACAACACAGTCTGGCAGACTATATATTTATGCGACATCCAATTCTTAATGCTCTCTATCAATTGGACTAATTCTTAATTCATGGAGGTTTAAGTATTGCACATTCTAAAGTCAAAAAATAGGAGGAAAATATAGCTTTTATCTAGTAACAATGTCAGTCAAACCAGCATTCCAAGTTTTAATTGGTGACTATTATTAATAATAACATATATATTTCATCAGTGACAGAGGTTCAGGAAAAAAGCTAAAATCCAAACATTCTAACAAATGCAGATGATATCATACAAATTTTCCAAACCTCGTTTAGCGTAATTAGGCGTGCTTCCGCGGTACAGACTGCTATTCGGCCAAACAGATCATGTTTTTCCGTCCTGAATATTGTTAGGGCACAATATGTATTGCCTTCAAGGATTCGGGATATACACCTACCATTAGTGATAGTGTGGATATTTTAAGTAATTATGTTGTGATGTCAGGTCGTGCCATTTTGTAAATGAATTTGACTAGAGATTGGTAGAGTATAAAAATAATCTGTGTGAAAGTATCTACAAAATGTCATCAAGCATCATGAACATAACACAAAATCATTTAATGCAATTATGCAACTCGCCTGAATTACTTTCGCAGTTACATAATGAGGGTTTGAAACAGCCAATTGGCCAATGCGATAAAAATCCAAGAGAATCTGAGTTAAATATGGCATGTTACCAAGTTAGTTATTGGATTCACATAGCATTGCAGGTTAATTCGACGTAAATCCAAAAGTAATTCTAGCCAAATACATCGCATTACCTGAACGAACTTTCTAAACGAAATCTAAGCTTTCAGGAAGTTCAAATTCAGATTAAAATTCTGATATTCGTATTTTCTGTTTAACCATGGAATTCGGCAATCGTGAACTTGTAGGTAGTTGTCATATGAGAAAAAACTGTAGGGGATAGTGTGTGGTTGAAAATAGCTAATTGCCTAAGTGCGAAAACTGACCAACATTGCAATAACATCATACATGTGAGCATTAATCAACTGACTAATAGAATAATGAGTTAAAATAAGTAAAGATCAATCATTAAAGTCACAATGACAAGAGGGTGCGTCTCTTCAGTCGGTCTTACAAATGTAAAATCACTGTCTAAGTCGGTATTAAGTACATTTATTTATCCTACTAGAATAACAGACGCAACCTAATATGGTGGAATCGCTATGATATGACTACCTAATCCATACGATCTTACGTAGAAGTCATTTTATTATTTTCATGCTGACTTGTCTTATGATGACAGTCGGTAGCATACTTTTTATGAACTTATGAAGAACACTTTTCGGCTGGGGATATGATTATATATTTGATATGTAAAGGAAGAGGTGATACATAGTGACTACGCCTGCACGGCCGAGTCATGCTGTCTCGATTGAGTGTTTTGCGCTCACCTCCTATGACCTTCTCCAGATGTTCAACAGATAATGTAAATCTTCCTAACTACTGTTTGTCCGGCTTCAATGATTATGTGGTTCCGCATCAGTCCCACTATACAATTTTTGTAATTACTCGTATATCCGTTACATTTCACTGTACAAAGTCAAATCTTTTCGGTCATTTTTCGAATTTGCCGATATATTTTTTACTTCAAGTTATCATTTGTTTCCACTACATGCATATGACTGGTAAGTTAGAGAATATGGTATTCTTGCAGTCTTTGGAAAAAAAACAAGATAACAAAAACTATTTCAGCTCGAGAATAATATTCATGACAAGGTATCGATTTTATTGTATATTAGAGGACAAAAAATTTTCTTGACTTATAAAATGTTCAGTTATTTGTCGATCTCCATTGGTTAAGGTTATCGACTCCAAATTCTTAGTTATTCTTTATCTACAAAGCTTGAGGAAAAAACTGCAGAGTTGGTGAGCCATTTAATTGGAAATCAGTTTGTACACTTACTATTTGTATTGAATAAACATTTGGTCCGTAGAATAAATTATAGTGTAGTTTGGTT